CATGATACTAGCTGTTTCTGGACGCTTTTAATTTATTCTGCGTCTGACGACGACTTGGGGAAGCGGCGTCAAAGATTTACGCAGTAAAGTATTTTTCCCAAAGAGCGTATTCGACGTTAACAGTGGCGCAGTAGTTAGAGCGTCAGACATCTAACTAACAAGGTCGCAAATTCGGGCCTCAGGGGACGCTATCAGTGGAGCTGAGTGTGGCTAGTTGATGACGGCTAATAAACTAAAAATAGCTATTATGGTCCCCACTATATTCCTCAGTTCCCGTTTCAGCATATCCCATAAATCGTTATGTGACTGCCTGCGAAAGCTCCAAGGCACAACGGGACGACATGTTCCCTAACCAGATTGGCAAGTGTCCCACCATTCAAAAATATATATATATATATTGGGAACGAGTGTGCTCTGCAAATGATCGGTGTGCGCCTAGCTGCCACTGTCGATATTTCCGATCGAAAACCAGCAAGACAATGAGCCCGTAACACAGTAGTTAGAGCATTGGACTACTACATTACAAGGTCGCAGATTCGAACCTTGGTTAGGGCTCTAATATATAATGCACCACTTGGGGTTGGGTATGACTGGCTGACGACGGTTAATAAGCCATTAGTGGCCATCCCAGTCTCCCTTGTCTCTGTCAGTAATGTCCTTCTGCCAATACCATTAGCCGCCTTGCGGCGCGGCTCGAGAGTGAGCCCGAAAGGCACGGCACGGGACGAGTGTGTCCTGTAACCAATGGGTGTGCGCATATCTGTCACAGTATATATAATATGCATTATATGCGTCCTATGGTCCAACATTTATTATGGCGAATAGCCCAGCCTATGTACGGACAGAATGCAACCCAGCGAGACTCCACCTAAAACAAGTGAGGGTCACGCGTCTCCACCTCCACCAGGTCCGTAACTGATGATGGGTTCCAGCAAGAATACAAAACGGCAGGCGAATAAAGTTATTGTACTAACGATCACGTCTACTTCCTCTCAGTCACTTCCTCGGATTCATATTTTTGCTGGCGCCGAAGGTTTTTTTACTAACGACAAAAATAAAAAGTAAGCCCTCTCCTAGACGCACCAGGATGAAGGCCAGAGAATCACTCTCTTTGAGCATTTCGATGCAGAATTGAATGAGGCCAGTTGAACGGGTGAGCTTCGAGATGCATTGATGGATCTGGTCCTTCAGTGCAGACTGCTTCATATTTCGTTCCTCCTGAATTGCACTCACCAATTCCGCCTTTTTCGCCTCTATGCATTGGAGGAGGATATCAAACTTCTCCGCGGCATCTTCCTCTGCCCGCTGAGCGGATTTCTGCCGGAAAAAGAAGAGTGAAAGAGGAAGGAGGTGAAAAAAGTGTGGTGGTGGAGGAGGACGGTGAGGGGGGGGGGTCAGACGTGTATCTGTTGGTAAGCAGGGTATTGGCCTAGGAAGAACCACGCAGACAGCACCTACAACTGCAATCTATTATTAATTATGAGTACATAGATTTAACCAACCAGAACTAGCCTAATCAGGGCAGCTCGAGGAAGGCAAACAGGCGGTACTTTGGCTTGGAGACAAGAGTTGCAAAAAATATATACGAAATTATTCCGATCTCGCAGTTGTTCTCTAGGGCAGTGAACGCTGATTGGATGATGGGCTTTTGAAGAGTGTGAAAAGCCTACTTTTCACTCAGAGTTATCCAACCCCGGTGCAATTGTTACTGTTGTCCTGTGCCTAGGTAAAAGCGCTATCGAACTGGTTTTCCATTTTCAACCAAACCAACTAGCTCGATGGTTGTGCTCGACAGATGAACGCCTGAAATTTTAGTATGCGTTTCACGGCAGTGGGGAGAAACGCTGTCAGTGGATGAACCGGTCGTTCATTCTACGAAGAACAGTTCTAGCTTCTTCGAGAGCATCCCAGCCGAAGTCCTGTATCATAATAACCTGCCAATTATAAAGTACAACGATGATTTCGATAATGAGATGGGCTTAAAATCCCCTACTGGGAAGGACGGCGAACGTAAATTTCCCGAAGACGCTGTGGTAATGTGTGGGGAGGAATCGCATCGTATCGTTCTCAATCCTCCTGTAAACACCCTGCCTGGGACGAACGGAAATTTAAAAAAGTTTAGCCTATCTTGAGACACCGTCCAGAGTAGTTGCTCGATTAAAGTCAAACTGAACACCCCGAACATCCACTTACTTCATAGATATACAGATGCGAGGTGGGTGTAGGGGACTTCTAGAGAGGAATAACAGCACCATCAAAAATCATTAAGGAACAGTCATGCTTATTAGGTACTCGTGTTTCATAGAGCGAATGGTGGCTATAAGTAAGCTCGCTCAAAAGCCGGAAGACTGATGCGAATGAAATATCTGTAGATTATACTGCACAGTAAAACAATGTTAAAACCATTCTTAAGTAATTATTTTCGAATTCAAAACAAATTTCTAAATTTCGGTTCTCATTTCGTTGGATAGGCAATCCACGATTAACTATTACCCTTTCTCATTGCAGGCACATTTTTATCTACCTCCATTATGCAATAATAATAAGATTATGTATGATTATTAAATTATTGTGCTCTTCCGGATTAAGTCTCCCTATAGTCCTGTAGGCGCACGCCATAAGTTCAGTTGTTTAAATGTCTAGGAGCAGATGTTGCATTTATTTTAAACCGTTATGCACTATTTAAGGCAATATAGAAATCAGTTTGCAAAAAAGTACATTAATCTGATGCTCAAAAATTGCACTTGTCTGAATTCTAAAAAAGAACTACATATTTTCGTGTCATCACCTAAGCATATCAAGTGTGATTGCAGGTAACGCCCTCGAAACTGAAAAAAAACAGCATCCATGTGACGGGCTGGCCCTAATGCAGTTTTGTCGTACGAAAACCCAGTTAAGCTATTTGCTATGTTGGGTCACATCAGTGTCAAATCGCTGCGAAGTTGCTGAAGAATATTGCAGTATTAAATATGGCAAAACGGAATCGCTGTTGCCCAATGTAACTGACCAGGAAACTCGATGAATGAGGCCCTAGCATCTTCATCGAGTTCGTTGATCGAAGCACCACAAACAATAAAATGCACTGTCTTGTCGACGAAATGTTCATGCATTCTTTATTTGCCTCCAGAAAACCAAATAAATCATAATACTCTTGAATAATTTGTACGAAACATCCATCTTTACTTCAGTTCCCTTGTAGGTTGTTCCGGTAAATTTTTTCTTAGTATCGATGGTGTGGCCTCTCGACTGCACATAGGAACAAGAATCATCCGTGACACAGATGACTGTGTTAAATTCCAGGAAAATTAAGATTTCTGTTAAGGTTAAGTCTAGAGTTAGTGTTAGTATTAGGCTTAGGGTTAAGTTTTGGGTGAGAGTTAGGACGTGGAAATATTCATGCCGCCCGAAAGCCCACCTGCATTACATAGGAAGGCGTTCCTACGTCCGCCCTTCCAGTGAGGGTATATAAGCAATTCCGATTATTTCTTTCTAAAAAACCAAGCAAAAAATTAATACGACAGAGATGAGACTTCTTGAACGCCTGATGTTTTATACAGTTCGCAAAAAAATGCGCCAATTTTTTTATAATCTACACCGACAGGGATTTTAAGTACATGCAGAACGCCTCGTCAGTTTCCTTGATAATTGTAGTTTATTATTTAGTTTTCTTGATGACGTCTATAAGTACTGCAGCCATTGATCGGTCTCATCAAATGTTAACTGAAGGCATAAATTACGTTTAGATTAGGAATTAGCATTAGAGTAGTGTTTATTATCCTGGAGCATAATCGCAGGATATTTCCGACACACCAAGATGCCGGCTTTTGAAAGCTAGTCTTTTCGGCCTCCTGAAAAATGTCTTCTCACGTGGTTGTATTTTGACGCCCTTAGAAATAAACATATATTTTTTTAAATAGAAAAGCAAAAATGTATTTCTCGTACTCATTTGATAGCAAATCATGTCTACTGCCAAGATTTCATTTCAAGTAAGGCTATCTTTTGCTTCAAACGTTTATAAGACAGTACAATTTCCATTCCAAGTGCATCGTAATGGATTGTTCATTAATGTCCCTCGTTAAGTATACAGTATATTTCACACCCACCATTTAATTTTATGAGTACTGTATGTTATGTTATTTTCTTCCTTGTACGGCAGCCATAGAGCTGGGAGACGGAAAATTCTAAAAGAAAACGCCACGGCAGATCTGGCATTAAATGTTTCCGGCGTTAGGGAACATATTTAAAACCTAAATTTGTCCTTACTTTGAACATAAGACTTGAAGAAGACCTGATATTCTACCAAATGAATATAAGAAAGACTCGCTGCGATTGTCTCTGGGGATGGATTCGACCGAGAATCCGAGACATCGGGCCGGTAACCTTCATATCCCAGCAATCGCATCCTCTTAGAATATTTTTAGTTTTCTTTTCTATACGTTATATGAATTTCCAAGGACCTCGAATATGTGTAGATGAAATGCCTACTATCTAAGTGGCCACTTTTTATCGACTGATGTTCTTTCAGGAGGCCAAAAGGATGTGCATTCAAAAACCGACATCCTTGTCTGTCTGAAATATCATGGGATAATGCTCCAAGATAACAAATTCTACAATTCCACTTAATTACTCAGTCCCAATCTACAACGCATTTTAAAAGCTTACTTGACATGGCATGAGGTCGGTCACTGACAGGAAATAGGTTCGGAAGATAATTGCGCAACCTTTGTACCAGTATGCGTTTGAATAACCATGACCGCAGCGACCGCTGACACAGAAACTAGTTTCTGCGCGTCGCTGATTATAGGATGGTTTTACGACTTACCCTTCATTTTTTCTTCCTACGCCTTCACGCCTACATGAAAATATTCACACGTACATTGCCCTAACCTCATTCAGTATCTCCTAGTGAATTCGTAAAGTTATCTGCGTTTAGAGTAGCATGACTGATGATGGCAAACAGACCAGTGGTGATCATGCCAACCTCCCCCTGTCGTAACGTTTCTCCGGTATCGATCAGGCTATGCGTAGGCCGTGCCGCGATTAAGACAAGATGAAGTTCAAGTTTCAGTGTTCCGGATTGTAGCCCTCAGCCCCCGACCAAACTGTAGAGCATTTGGTTCAATTACCAAA